AATAGACAAAAAAAGTTTCAAATAAAAGTTATATGGATTAGAAAAAGGCATATTTTAAAAAATATTTTGTAATATATAGGGTGTTAAACTTTTGCCTGGCAAATATGTTCTGAATGTGACAACTAGTTTAAATACTTTTTCTTTCCTAAATTTTCTATTTAGTTATCACCACGATGAATGACATACATTTTACAGGTGTTTCAACTCTTCCAAACAGTGCATAGCACTAAAAAATCCACCAGAGGTCGGTAAAAGATGAAGTACCGCAAATGAAAACAATGACTGCCAAGTGTTAATTTTATCTATATCAAGTAAAAAATACATCTGTATAATTTATTGTCTACTAATCATACTCTATGTAACAAAAAACAACGAGAATATCTTTATTAGTCATCACGGCCTACTTCAGTTTGAAACAAATTGTTGTAGGCAATTCTCAATGATATATAACCAAAAATATTTAAAATAAAACCAAAATATAGCGAGTATTTTTTATTTTGTATAATACGTATATGCACAGTGCTTTATTTCATTAAACAAGTATTATAGAGGGATATATAGAGTATTTAATTTAGATTATTTTATTAATTAGTAATAATATTTGAATGAATACGAGAATAGTTTCTCAAAAATGATTTTATACAAAAAAGCTCATTCATGTTTATGCTTAACCATGTAATAAACTGTCTTGTTTTTAAAAATTTTAGATATTTCGATTTTAATTTCAATAAACTCTTTTTCCAATTAGATATATAATTTTTCTGCTTAATACAAAGGTAAATTATTTAATAAGTAAAGAATTGTGAAAATTATAAAAGTAGCTTTTGAAAAAATTCTGAAAATATTCAAGATGAAAAATACCTGGAGACATAAGGTTTGTTGGGATTTCTTTAAAACTCCATGAAAACCGTCCGAAACCAGTGGAACAATTGAATTCCACATTATTCGTCGCGTTCAACTATTAAATTGTCTACTGGTCAAGTAGTATCCTCAATATATTTTTTGAAGAACCCCAACAGACCTATTGAATCAGATTTTGAAACTTCAATTTTTAACTTGCGCAACAAAGAAACATCGCCATAGAAAATAATACATGTTAAAAATATTAAATAAAGAACTTTTAAGAAATTGTAAAAACATATATACTAAATATAATATAATACACTTTGAGGTATAATAAAAAAAAACGTCGAACTTATTACAAAACACATTATAAAAATAAATATAAAAAAATACAAATCAAGTAAAATTCAATAAATAAGTACTTATGAAATAATTATTTACAATAAATCTAAAATTATTTATACATTTAAAACTATTAAATATATACAACATATCAGTACTTTTGAGGGTAACCATAACATAGAACAGATGCGTACTAACAAAAATTGTAGATACCTAATCAAATCGTTTTTTATGGATTAATAGATTATTATTATTATTATTATTATTACATAATTTTTAAAAATTCCAAAGTCTTTTTTCATTTAATAATCTTTATAGTACGCTCTAAGAGTTAATTAGGTACTAGTTTATAATTAACAATATGTAACAATATATTTTTTAAATAAATCCGAATAACTAACTTGTTTAAGACTTATCACTTCTACCCAGGCAGCAGACTGACGACATTTTGACATTTTTTAGTAATTCTTGGCCATTAACGTTATGTTACCAAAAAATTACGTGATTATGACGTCTCTTCTTTAACGTCTTTTTAACGTCACGAATTCGACGTCAGAGTGACGTCAATTTATTGTCACTATAAAATTAAGGTTTACATTAAACGTGATTTCAATACATTTTATTTATATAAAATGATATGGCCTAAACAAGTATTTTTTAACACTCTTAGGTCTATTAACGTTTAAATCTGGCGCTTAAAATGCATAAAGATTTTATGACACCACGTGACAGCGTCTGTCTGTGGTCATTGGTCTGTGGAGTATGGCTCGCGTGTGTTCGAGCCGTTCGAGCAACCACGACAACGCCATAACGGATTGCTGAATCGGCCGTGTGTGCATCATGAACCGTGGCCCTTGTGCATTTAGTATTGTCGTTAAAAGTTAGGAGGTCACTGAAAAAAGTTATATAAATATCAACCCAGCATAAGGTATGTGCCTTTTAGTATTTTCATATCTATATTCTTTAATGATTTTGTATCTATTACATTCATAGGTTGTTTCCTAAAATGTTTCCAGGTTCGTGAAATAGTATAAAATGGCGGCACTCATAGAAATATCAATAGAAATTCATTGTGCCCGTAGTCTTCATAATTGTGGCAAAGCCAAAATAATAACGTCCAAGTTGGCCACATTTGGAGCAGCTGGATTTATATAAATTAATGTTTTTTTGCCAATAATTAACATTCTCTTTATTTTATATTTCATGTATTTAAACCGTTCTTCTTTTTAATTATAATTATTTCATTTTCTAGTTTTGTTTTACTAAGGACCGATTCCACCGTTGTGTTAAACGAAGTTTAAAATGACATTTTTACATTAACACTGTCATTTTAATCTCCGTTTAACACAACGGTGGAATCGGCACTAAGTGATCCACAATTCCTTTAGAAAAGTTACAAAGAAGCAACAATACCAAATATAATGTCATGATGGCGTTCAAAAAACGACAAAGGAGGCATTAAAACAACGTTATAAAAACATCATAAAGACGTTATAAAGACTACTAGGAATCGTCATAAAGACGTTATATTTAGACGTGAAAAGGACGTCTAAATATGACGTCATTTGGACTGTGACATATTCACGTCATTTTAATGGGTATGACAAAAATAGGATGTCGTAATAACGTCAGTCTGTTGCCTGGGTAGTAAAAGATTCAAGAACAGAAGATTGTACCTTATTTTTTAATAACAATTCCAATATTGTTTTTATGCAAAATACATTTTTATTATTAAAAATCGATTTAAATGTTGTTACGCAACAAACAATGAATATTCGGGATATTTCTGGCCTTTTACTGGAATTCAAGGGAAAATAAATGATTAAAAGATAAAAGCCTACTTTGGGCCTTTCGATAGTGGCTCAGCATTATGTTGGTTGATAATGGCCTTATGAAGAGTGAGTAACTGTATTGGGCAAAAGCATGGCAAAACTCAGAAGGCATTTAACTGCCGCAGACCCAACCCCAACGGTCCAGGAGGATTCCGTCCTGCGTTAATAGATGGAAACATCGATGATTACTTGCTACATACTCAATGAGTGGATATGTACTAAGCGTCCAGTCTCAGATTGCGGGTATTCACTATTTAGTATTCATTGTAATTTCTTACATTTACATGTTGTTAATTTAGAATATTATATGAATATACTTTTTGAAGAAGACATTTTTTCTCTAGTCTTTTGGCAGGGTCAATGATACATATTATAGTTACATGGATTGCTCAAAGTGGGTCGTTTTACGAGCTGTCATATTGCTTCTCAAGTGCTCATTAATCAGAATCGGTTTAACAAAAATTTGTTTTAAAACCAATTTTCACCCTTTGAATGCCTAATTATTATCAAGACATAACCTCATTTTCTTACATTTTTTGTTGCTTTGCCAATTGGCATACTTATTAAACTGACATATATGTCACAAAACTTAATTAATTTATTCACAAATGTAAAATGTAAGAAATTCATGAATTTATTTCTCTTCTTCATGAATAAATTCATGAAGGAATTGATGGATATAAAACATGTTTTAGTTTACGTTGTCTTAAGTTTTTCTGCATTTGTTAATTAGTTTTTTTTTTACTAGAAGCAGAAAATGGCAACTTTATAATTTTTTAAAGAATATTCAAATTTTAGCTCGATATTGGAATTTCGGTAAACCTCGGTAAATATAAGAGTTAGGCAAGTCTGATTTCGCTTATTTTAAATCTTAAATATCGTAACATAGATGTGAACAACATATTTTTCCTATTGAAATCGGTATAAAAAACATTAGATCCATATTTAACAAAAAAAGATTGATGATGTACCCAAAAAAACGAAACGTCGTACTTAAAAAAAATTGTCATATTGGAGAAGAGAGAAAATGCTTAAAAATGCATTTTTGACGTTTTTCAAAATTACTTAAAAACCAGTAAAAATTTTGAAATTTTGAAGGTGGGTTTACGTAAAGCTTCTTTCATTTAACTAACCCTATAACTCTTACGAATATTCCAATACATTGAGCTAAAATTTGGGATAACCTGTATTAATTAAGAATTTTCTGAGAAGTGAAATTTAAGTATAAGTACAGAAACAAGTTATTGATTTCGTATTTGAAAAAAATATCAGTAAAATATTTTATAAGTAGATTATTTTAAGTAAAACCACAGTAGATGTAATTTGCCGGTTCTAGACTAATGTCAGAGGTAATGAGAGAGGTAATTGATGTAATTAACAAGGTGTAATTAGCAAGTACCTCCCAATTACTCTTTACAGCCTATAATGAGTGTAATTGCATAGTAAGTACCTTCCAATTGCCCTGTACACACTGTACTGTAATAAGTGTAAGTGGGAAGTACTTGCTAATTGCGCGAAGGGTGGGGGGGTACTTCCTAATTACACCAATTACCTCTTTCATTAACTCTGACATTAATCTAGAACCAGAAAATTACATCTACTATCCATTTATTCGTACTATTTGTCACAACTATCAGTAATTTGGTAAATAATTAGTTGAAAGCAGTTCGATTATTACCACATATATCTATATCATCTGTCATACAAGAAATAACTAACAATTACGTTTTTCCCGTTATAAGTCTTAAATTAATACACTTTCACTAACTATATAACTTGTTAGACTAGATAAAAGTCTATATTATTATCGTTGAAACAAGAAAAAAGATTCACCAAGAACATATAGTGTATGGAATGCCTGGAAATTTATTATTAAAAAAATGTCTTCAGACAAAATATTTAACACAAAACTAGCAGTCACCTTTGGCATCAACAATTAATTTTTTTTAAACATGAAGCTTAATTTATAACCGTTTATAACATATATCGTAGCGCAACTTAATAAACAATTAAAATATTTTAGATTTGGGCAAAAAGTTGTTTACTGTTAAATTTTAATTTAAACTTAAAATATGCCATTGTCAAGTTAAGTCAAATATTAAAGTGCGTATGGACATGCAACAAAACTTCATAACAGCGTAACACCGTAACATAGTAACATCGGAAAGTCTCCTTTCACCGTTTAATCAAAAAATAAGATGCACTGGTGTTGCACCACCTCGTTGCATGTCTGGATACTTAACAAGAAAGACAGTTATTTTTCTGACTATGTTACAAAACGATGTTATGAAACGATGTTACGAATTGATGTTACGAATCGATGTTACAAAATGATGTTACGGAATGAAGTTGCGAAATGAAGTAACGAAACGTAGTTATGATGAAGTTACGAAATGAAGTTACGAAACGATGATATAAAATTTTGTTACATTACCCACCTTAATAAATAAAAAAAAGTGATGTTACGATTGCAAATCTATACGTTATTTACTATATATTATATACTACGTAAATAAGTATATTTTTTTTACTATTTTGAGAGTGATTTTTTAATGCTACGCAACTGGACATCTTAAGTTGCCCAAACTCAACTTTTTTTAAGTTACCTAATCGTAGCTACTATTAAGTTATCGAAATATTAAGTTACGGCGGATATAATATTAAGCTAGATATTTAATAATTCATTATATTATATTATTTAAATACTCAAGTATTGTCTGGATGACCTTTTGTGTTCTTCTTCTTTCTTTTTTTCTTAAGCGTCACCTCACAGCTACAACCGCTCCGCACCTTGATATAATCAAGGGTGTAGGTGGCGCCACCGTGCTCGTGTACGGGGAACATCGGAAAGTGTTTGGTTCTGTTCGAGTCCGAATTTTTGACGAGGGCATAACTAAAGCTGTACTTTTGTACGCATTTGGACTGATGGTTTCGTCGATTTATAAAGTTACAGGGCCTGTCGATGACAGCTGGATCACAAGACAACTCGAAGAATCTGAAAATAAAAAAAAATTGTACAAAATATGCGAGAAGCTATACATGGTTTTAATGAATTACATCTGGTAAAACACGAAATTGGCATTGTTTTAGAGTTACTACTGAAGTAATTAATGTTACTTTTACACAACTGATGACACCAATTTGAATAGGATACAGGTATTGTTCATTTCGAATGTTGTGTAAGAATTTAAAAATTCGGCCTTACCTCTGTTTATAGTTGTGATCTTGGTACAACTCGACGTACATCCCATCTTGATTGGATCCCCCCAGAGGTTCGACTTTTTCGAAGACCGTGGGGCAACACTCTCCGGTCCTATTAAGAGCCAGATGGTGGATCTCGACGTGTTGACGGTGTGTCTCGAGATGTTGATGAGTGTTGTGATGTTGGTGCAATTTTTTCGCTGTACGGACGTAGGAGTCTTCAATAGCGTTGACCACGATCCTGGAAAAATATAAATATATTGATATTAACAACGAACAACTACTAGATACTAGACCAATGCTTTTATTCATAAGTTAGCACTTGTTTACTTGTAATTATTCAGTTCGTTTTATATTTAGTCCTATTGGTGATGAAAACAGCTAAGTTACATTTTTAGGTAGAATGAGTTAACTACATGCCACATCAATAAAAAACTATTAAATATACAATGGGGAAAAGAGCTAATAGTATATATAGGAGCCCATTGCTGTCGGGAGCTGCGCCAATATCGTTTACCGTAGAAGGGGGCTATTTGAAATATGCGAGGCTATTTGGTTTTTCACGTAAAAAACATTTCTTGACGACCTGTACCCTAACATGAGTTTTTATTGACGTATATCCTTCAAGCATATATGCGAGTTTTGAAGTTCAAAATGTGCTTGTTAATATAGAGCAACCGCATCCTGATGTAACATTTCTGTAGTACTCTTTTAATGTGACTTTTAAATCTAAGTTTATTGTCAATAAGTAAACCTAAATTTTTTGCCTCTTCAGAAATATTAATATTAACCCCATCCAATTCTAGTTTTAAAAAGCTTTCAATAGTATCTCGTTTAGCTTTACTGCAAAACAAAACAGCAGTCGTTTTTAATGGGTTAATGGTCAAATTATGATCTATAAAATACTGCGTAATCAAAGTTAGGTCAGTATTGACTGAGTTTGTTGCGTTATCAACGTCAAAAGGATCAAAAGTATGTATTAATTGTGCTAGCTAGCTTCGAACGAAGCCAGCAGAGCACCTCGGTTTTTTAAAGCTTTTTTTCTAAAAACAACCACACCGCATTTTTAGACTATTTTAAAGCTCTTTTTTTTTCCTAGAAACATTAACTTATGTCACATGTTTAAACTATTTTTAGGATCTTAAAATATTATAAAACTTTTCGAAAAAATAATGTTTTTTTTTTTTATATACAAGGTGTTGTGTTAAAACAGAGGTGCTTTGCTGGCTTCGTTCGAAGCTAGCAAAGCACCTTGTATTTTTTAAAAATAATATTTTAAGAGCCTAAAAATATTGTGTGTTGTTTTTGGAAAACAAAACTTTAAAAAAACTGTGGTGCTCTGCTGACGTCGTTCAAAGCTAGCAGAGCACTTTGATTTTTGCAAAAAAAAACAGTAGCATAAAAATAGCTTTAAAATAACCTAAAAATATGGCATATGTTTCAACTCAAAATTGTCTAGGTGCTCTGCTGCCTTCTTTGACATCACAAATTAGCAATGAATGTCCAACATAAAAAAATCCTAAAATTTAACACTTGCCTTTCTTCGTCTGGTGCAGTCTAACGATTATTTTTGTTTGCAGGTATAATCGACGCACCTCGAAATTTTGGTGCTATGTAAGGCCAACCAAAAGACATTTTTATTTCATTGTTTGTTTATTTTGTTTTTTATATTAAAATAAAATATATTTTTTGTAGATTCTAATTTATTTATGGTTCATATTTATAAAAAAAAATAAGTTTATTCTTTTCAACATCTTCTTTTATCAACCATTTGTATGCAAATCATAGTCGATATTGATATTAGATTCGGAAGCATGCATAATACCATGGTATGACGCTGATAGTGATTCGTATTAGTGATCCGAAAATATGGATTCGAATCACTTGATTCGAATCCTTTTTTATTAACCGACTTCAAAAAAGGAGGAGGTTCTCAATTGGTCGCGATATTTTTTTTTATGTATGTTCAGCGATAATTCTTCAACACGGTGTCCGATTTCAACGATTCTTTTTTTGTTAGAAAGGGGGTACTTCAGGGGTGGTCCCATATATATTTGGTCAAAATCTAATAATTGGGTACATGAGAAAATCCTCAAACTCTTCATTTTTTATGTATGTTTAGCGATAATGCTTTACCATCTTGTCCGATTTATCTTATTCTTTTTTTGTTAGTAAGGGGGTACCTCAGGGGTGGTCCCATATAAATTTGGTTAAGATGTGGTGATGGCATCTGCACGTTTTTGAAGTCGGTTTTTTAAATTTTTAATTTCTAATACTTGTATTGTATGCCACCCTACGATAAGTCGTTGCTTCGTTTTCTTGTTGCAAAAAGGATTCAGACATAGGATCCGTGATTCGGATCACATCTCGTGATTCGGATTCATGATTCGAATCAATTTTTTTAAGGATTCGTCCCAGCTCTGCTGTCAACACATTAAATTGAATTGAAAGCCGATATCCAACAAATTGCTTTTGAACTCAAAATATATGATTTGTAGTAATAGAACAAATATTATGTCCCAAGAGTATTGTGCTGATACGAGTATTAAAATTGGTTGTGTCAGTATAGAAAAGGTAGAGTACTTAGTATGTAAGTACTATTTTTGAACAGAAATTAATATTTTTCTTAACACATCAATAATGGGGGCGGGTGGCTCAGTGGTAGAGTCTCTGCCTGTGGATCCAAGGGTCCCAGGTTCGAATCCCACCGTTGGCCGGGATTTTTTTAATTTAATTTAATTATTTAAAATTAATTCTGATGCCTTGGTAGGATTCCCCACTCGACCATTCACTGTTGGGTTCTAATTAACAGTGATGTTCCTAAAGTGGCGCTGGGAAACAGTAACAAAGCCTACACAGAGCACGAGGCTAACACATCAATAACATATTTGTGAAAAAAAAAATCATCAAAAGACAAAAATACTCTTATTTTTCAATTCCTACTGCTAATCATTTTTATGCTTATGGTTCTTTGGTTATATTTATGTACATTTTTTTATTTTACTTTTTTAAATAATTGTAAGTTCCATTTTTATTTTAAATTCTTACGTTTTGTATTTAGTAGCATTTTGCTAAATAAAATTACCTTAAAATACTTCACATTACATTACTTCAAATTACTTAAAATTACTTAAAATTACTTAAAATTACTTAAAATTACTTAAAATTACTTAAAATTACTTAAAATTACTTAAAATTACTTAAAATTACTTAAAATTACTTCAAATTACTTCAAATTACTTCAAATTACTTCAAATTACTTCAAATTACTTCAAATTACTTCAAATTACTTCAAATTACTTCAAATTACTTCAAATTACTTCAAATTACTTCAAATTACTTCAAATTACTTCAATTTACTTCAAATTACTTCAAATTACTTCAAATTACTTCAAATTACTTCAAATTACTTCAAATTACTTCAAATTACTTCAAATTACTTCAAATTACTTCAAATTACTTCAAATTACTTCAAATTACTTCAAATTACTTCAAATTACTTCAAATTACTTCAAATTACTTCAAATTACTTCAAATTACTTCAAATTACTTCAAATTACTTCAAATTACTTCAAATTACTTCAAATTACTTCAAATTACTTCAAATTACTTCAAATTACTTCAAATTACTTCAAATTACTTCAAATTACTTCAAATTACTTCAAATTACTTCAAATTACTTCAAATTACTTCAAATTACTTCAAATTACTTCAAATTACTTAAAATTACTTAAAATTACTTCAAATTACTTCAAATTACTTCAAATTACTTCAAATTACTTCAAATTACTTCAAATTACTTCAAATTACTTCAAATTACTTCAAATTACTTCAAATTACTTCAAATTACTTCAAATTACTTCAAATTACTTCAAATTACTTCAAATTACTTCAAATTACTTCAAATTACTTCAAATTACTTCAAATTACTTCAAATTACTTCAAATTACTTCAAATTACTTCAAATTACTTCAAATTACTTCAAATTACTTCAAATTACTTCAAATTACTTCAAATTACTTCAAATTACTTCAAATTACTTCAAATTACTTCAAATTACTTCAAATTACTTCAAATTACTTCAAATTACTTCAAATTACTTCAAATTACTTCAAATTACTTCAAATTACTTCAAATTACTTCAAATTATTTTTTCTTTTTTTTTTATCATTTTGCAAAAACAAATTGAGGTTTATTTGGTTGAATATGTTGTATTTTGAAAAAAAAAAAAAATACAAAATCAGTGATAAGACAGAGCAAATAAATATAAACAGTTACTTAATATCTATCTACAATTAAATAATATACAGGTTTGGAAAAAATTACACGAGCCAATTTAGTAATTAAAATTTTCTTTGAGCTCGCTGGTCTCATGATACACAAAAAGAGATGGATGTTCACTCGCATTTCCTATGGCTCGTATAATTTTTTCCCACATACTCAAAGTATTTTCGTGTTTTAGTTGAGAGTTTAAAAAGTCGTTTGTATATGGTAAAAGTGAGAAACAGCTAGATTAATTGATTAAAAAGTTATGTAGATACTTACCCTCCTTCGTGAATGTGAAGTAGTTGTTTATTTTGCTTTTTGGCACTCCTTTTGTGGCGATAGAAGTCGTAAAAAGAGTCCGTTTCATTAAAGTATTCGTCGTTACAAGAAGCGACTGGAATGACCACAGCGGCTAGACCAAGCACCTGAAATGATAATAAAAATATTTTCATAATTTGTAGTTTTATTACTTCATTATGTCAAATATATTGGATCAGTGGAAGTCGAAAACAATTTTGTCCGCATTTTTAAAATATTCCCATTTTTTAATACTTTTTTCACTCAATTGTTGTATATTATTCAGCATATACTCATTATTTCAGAAATACTTCAAACGTTTCAAACATATAATATTTCAAGCAAAAGTTTTTGAAATATTTTAGTTAAATATTTCACTGAAAATTTTTCCTGAAACAGGTTATAAATATTACACTAAAAGTTCCAAAATGGGTTGATGTAAAAGGCAAAGAATTGAAAAATTTTATTTTAATTAATATAATTTTATTTCATTTCATTTCCAGAGGCAACCCTATATTCCAAATAATTGGAAGTTCGCGTTTGTTGTCGTATTTTGCCAATTGCTTTTTTTTGGTGTTTGAGCGTTGTGCTGTTATTTCGGAAGCAGAATATGTCTTTAGAAATTGAGGTACGTTTTCTACAGAAATAAAACTTGTAAGTAAGTTAGGTTAAGTTAATTTACTTTATCTCATTTATGTGACGAGTGACACCATTTCGTTTATCAAATATGCAGGCAGTATCATTTTTATCTAAATATAACCGACATTTACTGTCCCCATAGTTTTATTTATTAGTTCTACAACTCTGATTGAAAAGTACCAAAAGTAGCTTCATGTTTTGTTTAGTTATGAATAGTTTGTTGTATCATAGTTAATTTAAAGCAATATAAATAAAACTATTGTTAATCAAATAATTTGTTTAAAATCCTCATTTAAATACCTATAATTTGTTTCAGGTTAGTGCATTTACAAAAATTGGTAGAACGAAGCCATTCGCCATTATGAAATAATGTTTCAAAATTATTTGTTTATTTAAGAATCAATGTTTTGTGAATGTTAAAAAAACATGTATATTTTTAAATGTCTTTTTTTAGTCTAATAAAAATATTGCATTCAAAAGTTATTTTGATATTCCGGAAATATTATAGAAACGTTTCTATAACGTTTCATAATATTTATGAAGCAAAACTAATTTCTAAAATATTACTATGTTTTATTTCTGAAAGGTTTCAAATTTTTATTTCTGAAATATTACTAAAAAATATTTACAGGATATTATTACAGTTTTGCATGAAAATTAGTCATTTTTAAGTCCTTGGATTAGCTTTTTTAGTAAATGTGTCCAAAACCTAGACAAAAATAACTATAAAATTAACAATTACCGATAATGTTTATGAAGTATGCAAAAAATACATTAGTAGTCGTCCAACTCATGTTAAAAAGTTTAAAATAAACATGATGTACCTATTTTTCGTTTTTGTCCAGTTAAGTACGAAACTGGACCTGTTAGCGACTATAAATTGCCCAAGTAAAAGAGAATAAGATGATACTAGTAGGCAATAAGAAAAAGAATATACAAAGCGTTCCGAACAGCACTTCGGCCTGTCAAGCTCGCAAAGGAATAAATTCCACGACTGTCCAATTTGACAACATAATTTTCTGTTGTGCTGCTTGTGCAAAACCGATATCTTACCATCTCTTCGTAATGTGCATGTTTACGATTTTAGGACACGTGTTATACATAGCCCCACAGCGGCGTCGGTCGATATATCTAAAAAATTCTTCCGAAGAATTTTCGACAACAGATATAAAAAAGTATTCTAATTCAGATGTCTTTTTGAATCGGTTAAATTGATTTAATATGACGTGTTATCAAATAATTAAGGTATACAGGGTGTCCCATGAATCAAACAATCAATTCCATTTGCTATCAAAAAACTATATAGGTACTCCTATCTAAATATGACAAACCAATGGACGAATTTTGTTAAAAACTGGTAATATTATATATAAATTTTGACAGTTATAATGATTATAGAACTAGGAAGTAAAAGAATAACATCTTGACAACCATTACAAAATGTAAACAAAGCCATGGCAGTTTGTATAGGCGGCCGTGACAATACCGATGTTGACGTCATAAAACCTGCGCACCGCTTCACCTATATCCTTACACCATGATAATTATATAGATTGATCATCCATGTTTTTCAAAATAGACATAAGCTTATGCCTCAAAGTAAAAATGTAGGTAATTATTTTTTTTACTATATTCGGGCAATATGGCCTCTCGCAAACGACTTGCTTTGAACAATCTATATAACTATGTATGTATCATGGAGCCTGTCAATGATAACAAGCCCACAGTGTTGTCATATCTAAACTGTCAGTTCTCACTTGTCAGCATTTTGACAGGTCGTTGGAATGCCTAATTGGTAGTTTGATTTTCTGAAAGATAAGCTACGAATCAGCAATTAAAAACTATGTAATGATTTCCATAAAATTTAAATTTTTACTATTTATTTTAATTATAAAGATGTAATAATAGGTGAATGCATTATTTTAAAAATTTTGGGTTAGGTTACGTCCTCCGAGCAGAATTCGGACCACATTTTGTTTATACCCGGAAATAATTTGAAATTTTAGCATGCCAATAATGAACTGAAGTGTTACTTTTTGCAAACACAATTTTTACAAACAAAAATCATCAGAAGAAAGGATGACAGTGTCAATTGGATAGATAGTTATATAGATTATGCCTTGAAGTAAAAATGTGGGTAATTATTTTTTTACCACATTCACAGGCTAAATATTGGATTTAAAACACTTTTTTGCCAAACCGATTCTGATTAATGAGCACTTTCGAGGCAATATGGCCGCTCACAAAACGACCCGCTTTGAGCAATTTTGACAGATACTTGAAACTCCTAATACATTCAACGTTTTTGTAATCAATTGGAGGATATTTTTTTAGTTTTGGGAAATCAGAGTCGAATAATTTTCCGCAAATATATTGTAAAAAATTTATCAAGGATTTGTAAAAGCTGATTCAAATAATAAATTTGTGGTAAAAATCTAAATAGAGAGACAAAACACTGAATAGTTTTGGAGGTCCGCTTCAAGAACTGAATTATTTATTTTAGAGTTAGAAGTAAACCAGATGACCTATTAAAAAGAAATCGTTACGTAATTTTAATTATATATAATAAAAAGAATAGAAGTACATCCTGAACGATTTTGCGTAACGAATGAAGGTGTTAAAATCTTGTAAAAAAATTATTTTTTAAGGTTTTCCCATGCCATTAAGAAGCGTCTAATTCTAAAACTAACAATGGTATTGGAAGTTACTAATCGGAAGCTGTTAAACCGTTTAGCGTCCAGTAGTTACTTAGGAATCAATTATTTTATTGATAGATGTAATAGTCAGTGTAGGTTTGATAATTTATGGGTCCGAAATTGTTCGGAATTAAGTTGTTCGATGTACTAATTTTAAGAATAAATATCGCTGAGGTAATACTTCTTTAGAGCCGTGTGAAAATTTTACCGATAGGATATTTATGTTTATAATTGAGAATTTTCCTATGGAAAGGACATATTAGAGAAGTACCTTATAATAATCTATTATTATTAAATTGTTAAACACCAAAAATTATAAGAAACAAAAATTACAAAGATAATTGAAGACCAATTTGAAATAAAACTGTTTTAAAATGACAGGTTACTCGTTATGGATTGTATTTTTTCGGCTAGCATCAGTATACAGCAATCGTTAATAAGTAGGAGTGTCGAACTAAATTACCAACATGTGTAGCAGTCGAGTAGGTAATCCATAATAGTCTTTAAATTGACAAGACCACCTCAAAATGATTTAGATTACTGTCCGATTAATTGCTTTAATTAAAATAGATACATCGTTATAAGATACCTACATCAGAAAATTCTTTAACCTTAAAATAACTACGAAAATAAATATTTATGAAACATCAGTTTGCTACACTTATTGAGATGAAAAAATAGTAGGTTGTGGAACAAGAGAGAAAATGATTTGGATGGGTATTTTTAAATGATTAGGTACAGTTAATTTTTTAAAGAGCAATACTTAAGTTGCGTTTATTAATATTACAAGGGTATTATTAGGGTCTGATAATTTAATTACATTAAGGCCGTGCAAAGTAAGTGAGAAGTCTAATAAACACTCTTAAAAAAAAACAACAAAGCTACCCGTCAGGTGCTGCCTCTATAGTCTATTTTTATGTATGAGAGAGTATTAAAATAATAAAGCGTTCGTAATCCATTGGCGTAGCACTTCTTTTAGTAGATAGTTAAAATATTTTTTGAAGTTATTCCTCGAGTATACACTTATATTTTCACCTAATTAACCTGCTTATAACTTCTAAACAGCTGAAGGTAAAAAAGTGCAATTTTTTCTAAAATGTTTTATTTTTCCACAAGGTATGTTAAGAACATTGTGTCAAACGGGTTATGTAGGTATAAGGGTTTAAACTTTGACTTTTAAACAACGTTACGTTCATAAATAATAATTTTAATATAAAAGCTACTTCTTAACTACAAATCCAAATCAGAAGATGAACTGTCGCAACCAATATTTACAATGAGTGGCTCGATCATTTCATCAGTAATATTGTCCAACTTCCACATTTTCTCTTCTTCTTTAATCGTATGATTTACTGCCTTTTCCCAGTTTTCAGGCTTCACATTATTTACAGCCTCCAAAACAACTGTTTAATATTACTCATTTTAAAAGAATTATTTTTTCTTGAAACTTCTCCCTTTATCTGTGCCCATATCAGTTCAATCGGGATTACTTCGCAATGATATGGTGGTGATCTAACCACCGTCATCCCACGATTTTTTGAAATTTCATCAATTTCATATTTTTTGAATTTCTCTTTATGAAGGGAACACCAATGATACAGTTCTTTTCTCACAGAACCGGGATGGAACTTAATATTCTTTGAATTTAGCCAATTCTGTAAATCTTTTTTTAACCACTTGGTTGTGGGCATTTTTTCTATAAGTCTCGAGTGATAACTTGCATTCTGTAACAATTCCTTTATATTTAACGGCCTTTAAAAATATTTTCTTCTTTACTTCTGTCATTATTTAAA